AGTCTGTAATCTCAAGTTAATTGGTGAGTTGTTTTGAGTTTATTACCTCCTAATCTGTTATATGTTTCTCACTGAGTAATAAACAATTTACTACTCTGTTCTATTTGTTTTTTGTGTTATGGTATCAGAGCCTAGTTGCTCACTACGTGTTCTTGAAATTACTCAGTGAATTTGTTGGGCTGTGTGCAGCATTTTTTTTCTCAGCTTTCAAGATGAACGGAGGTAGTGGTGCTTCTCAAATGACCATTGAGAAGCTTGTTGGTACCAATTATCAATATTGGCGATTGTGCATGGAGGCTTATCTTCAAGGGCAGGATCTGTGGGATCTTGTTACAGGCGATGAGACACTTCCTGATGATACTCCACAACTTGTTGATGCAAGACGAAAATGGAAGATAAAGAGTGGAAAGACTTTGTTTGCTCTCAGAACTTCAATCAACAAGGAATATATTGATCATGTACGCAAGCTGGATTCGCCGAAGAAAATTCGGGATACTCTTGAAAGATTGTTCACCCAGAAAAAATACAATGCGACTGCGATACCTTGAAAATGAGCTTGCTTCTTTAACTCAAGGTAATATGTCCATTTTTGGTTATTTTCTCAAAGTCAAGAATGTGTGTGCAGAAATTTCAGAATTTGACCGTGAAGAACCGATAAGTGATGCAAGGCTGCGACACTATTTGATTCGTGGCCTGAGAAAAGAATTCATGCCATTCATCTCATCTATTCAAAGGTGGACGAACCAACCGTCTATTGTTGAGTTAAAGAATCTGTTATCTAAACAGATGTCTGGCAAGTTTCCAAATGTTGAAGACGCACTTTTTGTCAAAGACAAGTCGAAGACAAGGAATGCTCACAAACACTCATCAAGCGGTAGTAAGCAGCAAAAAGCTGAGGGGGAGCAGTCAAGTACTTCCAAATTAACATGTTATCAGTGCGGAAAAATGGGACACATAAAGGAAAATTGTCGCGTGAAGATAGTGTGTAAAAAGTGCGGCAAACCTAGCCATATTAAGCCAAATTGTCGTGTTAAGCTTGCAGAATCAGATGCCAATATAGCACATGAAGCGAAAGAAGAAGATGAACCGATCTGAGACAAATGTTTGTCTATTGAGGTAATTGATCAACTTGATAATATTGCTTCAGTTATGTATCAAAATGACCCAAGTGCAGGTAGTTGCATTGATTATKAGAAAGAGTGGATTGTTGATTCAGGCTGCACACATCATGCCACCGGAGACGCAACATTACTCTCTGATGTTCATCCCCATCTAAGAAATCGAGTGATTGTGATTGCTGACAATTCATTACACTCGGTAATGAAGGAAGGACAATTCAATGTTAAAGCTGAAAATTCGAATGGTGAAGGTCTTACTCTTGAAGATGTGTATCAAGTACCAGGCTTGAAGAAGAATCTTGCTTYAGTCTCTCAAATCACTRACTCYGGAGAGTTTGTTCTGTTCGGTCCAGATAAGGTATGGATCCTTAAGAATTTAAGGTGTATTGATGCTAATGTTTTGTTCATTGGGAGAAAGAAAAATTCTTTGTACGTGTTGTCCGCTAGTGAAGCTTATGTTGGCAGCACAAGTCAAAATACCAGTGTCTCTCTTTGGCATGCTCAACTTGGGTATGTTGGTTATCAATTGTTGCAGCAAATATCAACAAATAGATTGCTTAAGGGTGTTCCTCTCTTCAATTCAGAACGTTCAGGCGGAGTATGTGTTGGTTATCAATATGGCAAATCCCACCGTCTTCCATTCCAGAAATCCATGAATCGTGCGTCTTCAATGTTTCAACTTATTCATTCTGATCTCATGGGACCAACAAGCACTCCAAGTTACAGTGGCCTTCGCTATATGATGGTTGTTGTGGATGATTTCTCTCGGTACAGCTGGGTATATTTTTTGGAAAACAAGAGTGAAGTTCTCACCCACTTCACGCAATTTAAGATGATGGTGAAAAAAGAGTTCAGTTCAGTCATAAAGTGTCTGCGAACGGATAATGGGGGAGAATTTTTATCTCATGAATTTTTAAGATTTTGTGAAGAACATGGCATCAAACGTCAATTTACATGTCCAAATACCCCACAACAGAATGGGGTTGCTGAGCGGAAGTTGGCACATCTCACGGCAATCACCTTATCCTGGCTACATGATAAAATTCTCCCTCGAGAGCTATGGGCAGAAGCTATGCAATGTGATCAATCGGTTGCCTCCATGGCTAGGTACATCAAAATCTCCTTTTGAGTTGTTGTTCAATACCAAGCTCTCTTTGCTATGTTCATGTATCTAAACATAGCCGAGCTAAGCTTGACCCCAAAGCAAGAAAGTGTCTGTTTGTTGGTTATGATGCTCACAGGAAGGGATGGAGGTGTATGGATCCTGTCTCTAAGAAGATTGTTACTTCTCGTGATGTTATTTTTGATGAAGTCTCAATTTTTTATCCAAGCTCTGCTCAGGGAGAAAATTCTGAATGTGTGCCTCTCACTGACTCTAATCTTGAATCACCTCCTATTGAAGTTGGTTCTAGTGAAAGGGGGAGTTTGGAGTCCATCTCTCAAAATGATCCACCACAAAGTGAAGTTACACCAAGAAGAACATCAAGGCAACGAAGGCTACCCACTCATTTAAATGATTATGAAGTCCAGCTAAATCAAGGTACTGCCCTTACGTATTTTATGATGGAAGACACTTGAAAATGAACCCACATCTTATCTTGAAGCTCAAGGAAAGCCTGAGTGGGAAAATGCAATGAGGGATGAAATTGCAGCCTTGATGAAGAATTCTACTTGGGATTTGGTTCCCAAACCAAATGATGTTGATGTCATTACATGTAAATGGGTTTACAAGTTAAAGAAGGCAGCAGATGGAAGCATTGCAAGACACAAAGCTCGCTTAGTGGCTCGTGGCTTTTCTCAACAATATGGTTTGGATTACGGTGACACCTTCAGTCCTGTTGCGAAAATGGTTATGGTCTGCACTATTATTTCCTTGGCTGCAAGCAAAGGTTGGACTCTTTGGCAATTTGATGTGAAGAACTCCTTCCTCTATGGTGAACTAGATCGTGATATTTACATGGAGCAACCACAGGGGTTCGTGTCAGAGAAGTTTCCCGAACATGTATGTCAACTTAAAAAGGCACTTTATGGCCTCAAGCAAGCGCCTCGAGCCTGGTACAGAAAGATTGCTGAGTATTTTAAATTATGTGGTTTTTATCCTTCAAATTCAGATCCTAGTCTCTTTGTTAAGGTGAAGGCATCTCTGTCCATTATGATTCTTCTTTATGTGGATGATATGATAGTTACAGGAGGTGATACAGCTGAAATCATGCGCCTTCAAGAAGATTTATCTGTTGTTTTGAAATAAAAAGCTTGGGTGAAGCTCATTGTTTTTTGGGTTTAGAATTAGAACGATCAGATGGTTACTTCCTTTCACAAAAAGGATATGCTGCAAAGATTCTAAAACGGTTCGGTATGGAGAAATCAAACTCTACAACTACTCCCATGGATCCGGGTCTCAAGTTACAGAAGGATGAATGAGAGTTTTTGCATGATGTAACAGAATATCGTAGAATGGTGGGGAGTTTACTGTATTTGACAATTACTTGCCCAGATATTACTTTTTCAGTGGGCATAATTTCTCAGTTCATAGAGCGACCTTGTGTTGGTTATATGGCTACTGCAAAACGCATATTGAGGTATGTGAAAGGAACCTTGAATTATGGCTTACTTTATCAATACAAAGGGATTTTTTCTCTGCAAGGTTATGTCGATGCTGATTGGGCTGGGAATGTAAATGATAGACGCTCCACCACAGGCTACTGTTTTAATATTGGTTCAGCAGTTATATCATGGTGTAGTAAGAAGCAAGCTACAGTGGCGTTATCAAGCACAGAGGCTGAATATGTTGCAGCCACTTTAGCTTCTTAGGAGTGTATCTGGCTTACAAGACTTCTTCAAGATGTTAATAAAGCTTCAAAGTTTCCAATTCCCATTTTTTGTGATAATGAAAGTGCCATCAGACTTGCTGAAAACCCGGTGTTTCATACTCGCACGAAACATATTGCTGTTCACTATCATTTTATTYGAGACAATGTGCTGAATCAAGAAATTGAGTTGCTTGTCATACGCACAACTGAGCAGGTTGCAGATGGATTTACAAAGGCTCTATCTAGAGCTATGTTTGAAGAATTTCGAAGAGAACTTGGTCTTGTTGATCGAGGGAATGCACTAAGGGGGAGTGTTACAAGTTAGTGCATCTCCTCCTTGCATTTGAATCAGTCAAGGTTTTGTTATTTTTCTGTTTTTTCTTGTTGTTAGTAGTTGTTTTGGTCTTTATCAGTTGAGTAAAATTAGGAGTCATAATCTCAAGTTAATTGGTGAGTTGTTTTGAGTTTATTACCTCCTAATCTGTTATATGTTTCTCACTGAGTAATAAACAGTTTACTACTCTGTTCTATTTGTTTTTTGTGTTAGGCAATGTCTAACATGCCTTTTGTGATGGGGTTTTTCATGAATATAAAAACTAAATGATTCCTAGGGGATTGAATTCAGTGGCAAATGATTTAGCTAAATCTGGTGTTCACAAGGAATTTATGTATTGTGACTGTTCTCTGCATGTGTAGTTTCTGTGGGGAGTTCTTTGTTTCTCTGCTGTACATCATCTCCTGTACCCTGTTATGTGAATATATAATCTACATCTTCTGTTACTTTCTTCCAAAAAAAATGGGAGTTTTTCATGAGAATCATCTCCAGATTAATACTTTTTGATGGAAAACATTAACTAGCCACCATATAGCTTTTCTTCTATTAGAACCATTCCATGTTTTGCTCCAATAGAGCAGTTACTCAACCCCTATAAATTTGGATATGTTCTTCCATACCAAAAATGTTTCGGATATTTTTACTATCAAAGTGATAATAATCTATTTTGCAGAAACTTGTGAGAATGGCTCCATTGCTATATTCACTTTTCATGTACAGAACTTACACATCAAGACGACTCTCAAAGATCCAGTGAGTAATATACAAGATAATGCTACTAATCACGTAAATAAAATCCAAACAAGAAAACTGTGGTGTCGTGCTGCTAGAATGAGAGAAGCGACTTCCTTCCAGATGCACTGTTTCAAATCTTGTTATAACCAACTACAACATTTGAAATGGGATGATGGAATCCGTCCAGTTTGACGTATGTACTCTGTTTGGGCATTAGTTCTTTGTGCTTGCTGATTCCTTCTGGCTTCAGCAGCTGCTCTCTTTTGTTCTGATTGCTGCCTTGTCATTGCAATCTTCTTCATAATCTTCTCTTGAGCATGAGCTCTCATTTGTTCTACTTGGGCCTGGAAGATATTGCAGATATAAATTTCACCTCAGAGCCAATATAAGGATAAATTAATCTTCCTGAGCTGATCTTTTTTTTTTTTTTATTTCTATTTCTATCTTCCTGAGTCATCAGGCAGTTTGACACAGTATATAATGAAATAATAAAATCTTCACCCAACCAAATAACTACATTCTTGGGCTAAATTGTCTCAGAAATATCTATAGAAAAGTCTTAAAAATGGATAGACTTGATAATGCTTCAAGTTCTTATCAATTCTAAACCAGAACAGTTAGTTTTTCTGAAGTACTGAATTATGTTTTTTATTTTTTATTTTTGTGTTGTCAATTGAGTTCAGTTTTTATGTCTTCAACCATTACATGCCTACTGGAAAGTACCTATGCATCCTAGATTTAGATTCTTCTTATGGAGAATCTTAAGGAATTTTAAAGGTTTAACAGAGATTCTGGTTTGTTCTGTGATCAAGGGAAGAGAGGTAATTTTTCTTTCCAACATGCCTAAGTGTCCTCATGTACAGGAGGTTTAAGTACAGTGGAGGATTCAAAGGTAGTAATTTTGGTACAAATGATGTAGTACATATTGTTATACTGGCCAAAATTGTTTTTTATTTATTTTTTGTAGACTATAGAATTTGTTTTTATGGTGCTGCAGGTGGATCTTTTTTTTTTTTTTTTGCTCAATTGGGATGCAGTCACAGCTGCTGAGCTCAAGGCAATTTTTGAAGCTACTCATTTTGAAAAGGACAATTCTGTAGCAGTGGAATCAGCCACCTTGGGTCTGTTTGCACATGGTGGATGATATCAAGCCTATTTGTAAATCTTTTAATAGAATGTATTTTGTGTATATAAAATAGGGAGACCAATAGGCCTGTCCCTTTATTAGCACAATATAGCACTGTTTTTTTCTGCATAATGAATTTCCATTTTTTCTATTAAAAAAATGTAGTTGATCATCAGTTTGTCCTCATTCCTCAATCCTCAATTGTTTTTCTGGGTTTGAAATACAGTTAAATGATGTCACTTTAGAAATTTGTCAACTGGACAAGTTTTTGGCATTGAGAGGAGGTTTTGAACAGTTAATAGAATACTTCCAAGTCAAAATAATGAAAAAATAATACAAATAAGAACAACGTAGAATACCTCCACTCTCCTCATTTCTGCTTCTATTTTTGCTTTTTGCTGGCTTTCCCATGCCTGAATTTTGATCTCTTCACGCCTGTACCTGAAATGTCATATTACCTCTTTTCAGAAACTAGACAGTTCAGAGTTCACAGCAATACTCTAATATCAACATTAACTTAGGTGCTGTTTGGATAGACTTCTACTTTTGTACTTTTAAAAATACCAAAGCACAAAGTACATAAAATACTTTTACTTTGGTATTTTTGCTTTGAAAACTATTTGGGTAAAAAATTTTGAAAGTATGCTTTCCAAAACAGAAGTACCATTTTTTGTTTGGCAAAAGCACGCACATTTGTGCTTCCAGTGACAGTTTCCGGTGGTTTGCGGTCTGAGACCGGCAATGGCAGTCCAACTCTAGCAGCGGCAAGCAAAGGTAAGGTCAAGAGTTTTATCGAATGGTGGTCACACTCACACGTGACCCACTGTTCGCACAAAATGGAAGCACTATTTCGCCAAAAACACAAAAGCATAAAATATATGAAACAAACACTATATCGTGTTTTTCGTACTTTCATACTTTCAAAAGTACGAAAGTACTTTATAAAAGTCTATCCAAACAGGGCCTTAATCTACATAAAGCAAAATATGAACTCCATTTTATTTTAGTTGTCCTATTTTGTAACTTTGTGGGTTTGGAGTTGATAAGAGAGTATTTAAGGACAAACCTGGCTGTGTGTTTAGATTTTTCAGCTTCCTCCCATGCAGCTGCGCGATTTTCATATTCAGTCTTAATCAGTTGCTCTGGATCAACGGATTCAGTAGTAGTCTTGTTTTCCACCTCATCTTTACTTGCCCAAGCAGCAATGTTCATCTTACCAAGTTGAACACCAAGAGCTACAATCTCTCTCCGAGTCTTGAGTTTCAATTCTTGCTCAGAAAGATCCTTTTTATCACCTCCTTTTTGACATTCTGATTCATCATCCGTGGTGGCCTCCAGAGGTGTAGATGCCGGTGCTCCTCTTCTAGGGGTAGATGGAATTGAAGATGTAGGGCTTCGGAGTGGAGTTGTTGATCCAACAGGAGTTGCAGTCCTTGAAGGCTCTTGACTTGGGATAGGGGTCATTTCTGTTCCCATATCTCTCATGGATACTGCTCTTATACTGGGAAAAACTGCATGATTTAAAGGTCATCTTATGTATGAGTATGACAAGAAATAAACCCTCAAAAACATTTGGTAAAGATGATATATTCATATTCAAGCATCCAATCACCTTAATAAGAAATGATGTTACATTGTCAACTTCTGGGAAGAAAGCAAAATGTCAAAAACTATAGTTACAAAAAAAAAATTATATGAAATACATGGAAAGAAAAACTAAACGTCTAATAGCATAAACGAACATAAATATAGGCACTGTTTGGCAAGTCTTTCAACAGTCTTTTGGTCTTTTGAAAGATCGGAAGATCAATTTTTGGTATTTTTCTATTTGATAATAGAAAGACGAAAAGAAATGAAGACGAGCACCTGGAAAGACCAAAATGGCCAAAAATCAGGAAGCTTCAAATTAAGTTTTTGGCCCTTCACTCTTCCTGCACCTCAAATATCCTTCTAATCCGTTTTTAACAGCCTGGTATACCAAGATATTTAACAAACAGTCTTGGTCTTTAAAGACCAGCTCCGAAAAACTAAGTACGTCTTTTGGTCTGCTGGACTGTAAAAAGATCTACTTAGAAAGACTTGCCAAACAGCATCATAGTTAAAGAGATCTTACCTTCATTGGAGAATATCCACATTCCAGAATAACCACTGGGAACACTAGCATAGGTGTAATAGGAATTTATACAGATGGAAAAATCAACCATTTCAGACCAATCAATGCATCATTTTTATTCTTCTTTCTTCTTACAGTGATTTTCATCTCTTTTCCAACTTTTCACAGGAATATGATATGTTGGTTAAGTTAAGTAAATCCAAGAAACCTCTTCATGTGCCCCCATGATTCAATAAAAAATTGGTGGGTTCTAAGCCCAAAGGTTCTCAGAGTTGTATGGTAAAAGCATGCTGGTAAGTGGTAAGGGCTTGCACCTGAGTTACTTCTTTACATTAAGAATGAATCATACAATGTTTATGAAATTACATGATTAAAAAATCTTGTAAATAAAATGCATATATTATCAAACCAAACTTTAACCCATAAAAAGCTGTTGTGCAATGCAATACATAAAATTGCCCAAAGAAATAGAAATCTAAACTGTGTTCTAAAAGTACTTTTGAGGCAAAAACAGGACGTTTTAAAGCAAGAAGTTTTAACATATGAAGATTTCTTTCCAATTCTCAATCTACAATTTGATGATAACAAAAGAGGCAGTATACCTGTCACATCTGCTGTGGAACTCTCTGAACCAGATAATTCATTATGATCCACGTCCTTCTTGGCTTTATTAAGGGGGCACAGATCAACCGACACATCCGTCCCATTTTCTGGACCTGAAATGGAAGGAGCTCCAGAGCTAACAAAAGAGAACTTCTCCATCATTATTTGTGTGGTCGAATGACAGGAATCAATCCGTTTTGTTTCTGCTAGTGGAATAAGTGATGCCTTCTGATCAGAACCAGAAGATTCTGGTGCAACCCTCACCAAATTGTTCACTGGCTGCCGGTACATCTGATTCTGCAAATTAGCCTTCTTGGAATGATTTGGATGTAGGGGCTGCCTGTTCACTAACCATTTCTCTGCATCATTCCACTTAGATGGCACAGAACGAGAGAAAGGTCTCATTATGGGATTGTGCAATGACCTCTCTCCCTTATGAAATTCAAAGCTGGATGAACTAGCATTACTGTCATAATCAGGATTCTCTTCTTCCATAGATTTAACAGGGTGAACTGTGCTCAAGCTACTGGTAACAGATCTTGATGATTGCTGTTTGACACGACCCATGTCCCCAGTTTCTTTACTCAGTGCTATATCCTTTGGCTGGAGAACTGTCTGATTACCTTGGCTGGAATTTAATGACCCCTCAGCACATAATCTTACTGAGGATGCTTCTACATTGGCAGTTACAGTGTGAAGGGAAGCACTTGGCAAATCTTTCAAGCCATCTGCAATAAATCAACATTCAGATACAGAACATAGCTCTAGGAAGGACAATTTTCAAATCAAAATGCACAAGCTAAAGGTTTCATTTAGTAGGGCTACTAAATACAAGACCTTCCTCTTCAAAATCTCCATCTTTTGGGGCTAATAGGCTACTCTTTACGAACTCTGCATCTTCAAGCCTGGAGGGAGATGTTCTGGAGGAATTGCTATTTGTTCCATCCTTTTTTCTCTGATGGTGAGGTCCCATAAGCTTTAGCCGCAACTTACTTGGGGAAATTATACCCGTCTGCATTGAAGTTCAAATCGAAAGGAAACCCATAAGAAAATTAACCTAAAATTCCCATCATTCTATGTATAATCAACTTAAAACAATACCAGGACTCATTCTGTTCTTAGTACCCAATGAAAATCTGAATCGACTAGAAAATAAGTGACCTAACGTGGAAGATTGATGACTGTATCTCTTCCCAAACTCAGATTAAACTCTTGCGGCGCCACTTAAAAATAAAAAACTGAGAAACTTAAAGAAAACATACAACACGAAGTTCTGGGGCAAAACAAAACATCCCGTCTCCCTCAAAGAAAAGAAAAAAACAAAAAACGAAAACAATCTACTTTGTTTAAACCATGATTTGTTCTTTCATTTCTCTACCACCCACTACATTGCATACCCACATAAGAAAACCAATAAAAATCACAAAAAAGAGGGTAAAAATAGAGACAACACGAGACAGTCAAGAACCCAACAAGGCCAATACTGCAATGCAAAGAGATCCATCCCATGGTCAAGATCTCCAATCACTGCATATCTTCAAAGATACAGAACAAAACGAAATGGGTAGTTGTCATTTCCTTTTCTGGAGCAAGAAAACTATACCTGAACTTTATCAATCCTCTCATACTCCATGATCTCTCTCTCCCCCTCTCGCTCCCTCTGGGATTTGGAGAATAAGAAGAGAAATGCAGCAAAACTATAAGCCTTGCAGTGGAGGGTAGTACCTTCCTCACTGGTCTGTGTATATTTTGTAGTTGACACTTCAGAGTCAGAGGAGTAAGACAAAGACCGGGGTCGGCGATCTTTTGAAAATCCAGCTGAGATATCTTGGACACCCATCAGTTTTCCTCGGCGATTTTCAAAGCTGGGTTTGTTTTCTTAGTATGACCACGACAAGAGAAAAGCACTCCAATTTCCGTCATTATTTATTCTTTCTTTACTTTTATGACCAACTTTTCAACAGTCCATCAAATTTCCCTGCTTGGGAGCTGTAAAAAGTCTTGGATCTGATCAATCAATCCATCCATCAGTCTCTCCCTTGGTTATGGTTCTTATTCCAATAAAATTTTTTGAGAACCCGTGCATCAATCTGTCAATTCCTGCTTCAGAAGAAGAATCAATTACGCAGAGATTTTAATTGTGCCTACTTTACACGCGGCATGCATCCAATGGCCTAGATGGCTCGAACCCATTATAGGGACCCATTAGGTTTAACGGCTAAGATAGCCCAATTGTGATTATATAATGCTTGCTTATCAAGGTGTTTACTGTTTAGCAAAGCCCCATGAGCCATGATCAGTCATCAGTAGAAAAGAGAAGAGAAGCCCAAAAAACAGTATTTTGGGATGTTTTGAATTGATTGGATGGAACAAAACTATACAGACATTCATTAAAAAGTAAAAACATCCAAAGCAAAACAGTGATAAATTTCATCTCTATGTCCTGATGTCCCGTGTCCATCCATTCTGTCTACTGAAAAGAATTGGTTTTTGCATGGGACCCACTACAAGGTGGGCCCTCTAGATACTTGGTCTGTTTCGTTTGAGGTTAAATATACTTTTTAATCTGATTGATCAGAAGAACTCAGCCTTCTTTCAAGATTATGAGAACTTGTATTTCTATGTAGATTCCATTTTATGTAATGGATTCTATGTAATGCACAAGTTTGGCCTTTTGGACATGAACAATGAGATCCATTTTGAGTCTATAAAGCCGTACTGAGTATAGACTAGGTGTGCAGATGTCACATGTGAACCCATGGGTTCTTCTTGTTATCTTGTTTAGGATTATTTTTGGTATCTATTTGAGTATAATCAGTACAAACCACTGTTCTAAATTTCTAGCCATGGCACCGATACACCCGATACGCACGAACAGGCGTATCGGGTGTTTCTATACTTAATGAATTTTTTATTTCTTTTTCTCAAAAATGTTTCAGAGGTCGATTTTAGGCTTTTTAGTTTTTATACTCCTCGAAAATGCCCAAATTCCGATATATCTCTTAGTTGGGGTTTTGAGAAGCTATCAATATAATACAATACGATACATCCAATAAAGGCGCATAGTATCAAAATTTAACCTTATGGATAGATCGATGAATGGGATTGGAGCTTGGAGCCAAGGTTTTAAATTTTCAGGGTTTCATTCATTTCAGAGTTCATCAAAAGAATAAGATTAATTTCTGGAAAAAAAATGTTGGGCAAAGTTTGTTTATTTTATTTCAGAAGGGCATTCGTTCCAAACACCGCCTGTGAACAATGAAAATTATACGTATAGTACAATGAAATGTTCAGAAATACATAGATAGAAAATCTAAAAACAAGTTGATCCAAATTGGCTTCCCCCAGCTTTTCACACTTCATTCGCCAACTTGAATTCCAGTTAAGTAGACCCAGTTTTTATTGAAATTGTTTGGTTTCAAATAGTCATACTAATTAAATTATTAATCATCATGTTGAGTCCTCAATCTTAAGATTGTGTTTGGTTGCAATGCAAATAAATTTGTATTAATGCAAAACTATGGCAATGCAAATGATTTGAATGTAAATTCTGACCTATTATTGTTTCAAACTTTAACTTATTTTGTTTGATTACAGTACAAATAAGTAAATTAAGACATGAAGTAGAATAAAGTAAAATTCAAAACAAAATTAAACAAGAATTTGCATTTTTTACATTTTGTACTCCCATGCATTTATACTAATGCAAATAAAATTACACTGCAATAGGCAAGCTACAAAATTTATTAGGTTTCTCCTTTTAAAAGCTTAAGTTGTTAGGCACATCCTGCTTTGCATAAATTGTAAGCATAAAAGCTTAAGTTGTTAGGTGATATCCCATAGGTTTTTAATGTCTAACATGCACACATCTTTACTTCAATGCAAGGTTTTAAAAACCGACTTGGAACCGGAACCGTTATGGCCATTGGTTTTTGGATTTAAGGTTTGATTGTCCAATTTAAATGAACAGTCCTTTCCAACTAAAAAATAAAAAAAAATAATTAAAATATAAAATGACCAAAATCCATTTAACCTGGGTTGACGGTTTGGCTGCTCGGGTCAGCGGCTCACTGACCAAATCAACGATTTTTTTCCAAGGACCGAGTTAAGGGTAAAATAGAACCGATTGCCTGGACAGTTCCCAGGTCATAGGTCACTAACCAAATCAACAGTTTTTGGCCAAGGATCGGGTTAAGGGTAAAACGGAACCGTTTATCTAGACTACTACTGGGATGAATAGTCCAACCATCCTGGTCAATAGTAGTTTGAAAACCTACCCTGCTTTTTCACCAAAATACTTATACTTCCCTCATTTTTCGAATTAGACTTAGACCTCCCCTTAATGATGATGTCAACAAACAAAAGCCTCCCATGTGTTAATTTTCCATCCATGTCTGTGAGGGTTAAAATTTTTTTAAATTCCAATTATACTCTTTTTTTAGTTGGTTGTGTATTATGTGGACATAAAACTCCTCTCACCAAGAAAAGGTAACTGTTGCTACCAAGGATGGGCCGAGGGAAACAAGGTAAATCTGCTTCCTTAACCGAAGCCGATGTGTCCAACCTAAGAGCAAGAGATCACTTGTCAGAGGCCCCGGGTGTTACACAGTGACGGAGACTCTGACGGTCAAGTTAGTCAAGTGTGTAAGAGGGGTTGGACGAGGTCCAAGGTGAGGGCTCGGACGAGGTCACTCAAGAGCTAGTAAGCAAGACAGCTGGAGTGAGCAAGATGCTTTACCTGGAGAGGGCGCACCCCTATTTATACTTGACCTTGCCTTGGGAGTAGTTGGAGGTGGTTGGTAGTGGGCGGCCAGGATTGCATCCGGCCGATGCCACGTGGCGCCATCCTGGGCCTTTCCATATGCGCCTACATCATTTGCCCCCACTCTTGAGGCCGCAACAGACGAGGGCCGATGGAGGACTAAACGGAGACCTCGATTTCGACCGGAGAGAGTGCAACAATGTCACTATGAGGCATTGGATGGCACATCAAGCGAAGGCTTCGGCATGGTTTAAGAGAGTGTCGTTCAGAAGTGTGGAGGTGTCAACCTCGGCTGCTGAGAACTCCCCTTGGTCATCCAGTGGAACTACTTCATAGCTGATTCCGCCTCTTAGGAGGATAATGGAGGGCCAAGGGGGTAAAGTCATGTCTTGTATGAGCGCGAGGCATCTGCGTTCATCGGTCGTGTTCTTCACAAGTGCCATTGTGGATCCACATGCGGGACAGGTGTCGACATCGACTAGTCATGATCGTACATGAGACAGGTGGTGGGTCGCCCAGGTTAGGCCACTTCTGACATTGGGTCGACGGGCGAACCAGCCACTTCTGAGTTGTTCGTTCCTCTTTAAATAGGGTCACTGGTTGAGGCAGACACTACCATTTGCTTGCTTCCACTCAACTCTTCAGAGACCTCAGCCACCTTCTAGCCTAACCCTAAGCCTACTTCTTCAACTCCGACTACTCGGTAAAGGACTTCTCCCATAGCCATGTCATACTCTAGCTCTGGTCCCTAATGCTATGAGCTTCCTAACCTTTCAGACACTAGCACGCCATGTTCCTCCTCGTCTAGTAGCGAGATTTCTAGAAGAGGCTCGAGGTCTAGGTACTAAGGGAGAGAATTGCTCCTGGAGGTGCCAAGTGCGACCAGCGGGGTAGTGAATCTCCTGATGAAAGTATTGGGTCTATGAGGCCAAGGGGGACACCGCTGGGAATGCCTTGGCACAACCCGAGCCTCTTTGAGCGAGGGTGAGGAGAACATGGAAGTAGAAGCTTAAGGCACCCTAAGTCTCTTTTCTTCTTTTTTGTTTACTTATTTTTTGTAAGGGGCTTGGCCTCCCCCATTTGAGGCTCATTTTTTGTAAAGATCAACATGATACATTAGTTAAATGAATGAATGGAATTTTTGTTCGACTTGTGTCCTCTTTCATTTTTCTTTTCTTTTTTCTTTGCACTTTCTTTTTGTTGTGCTAGGGGCCGATGTCCCCCCTCTGAGAGGTCACAAGTGGCGAAAATACGTTGCTTCGAGAGGTCAACCAGGTCACTAGCCAGTTCAAAGCAAGAAAGCCCACCATGGCAAGTAACCTACAAAAAGCGCAAGGGCTCATTAGATAACTTGAGCACTTCACCATACAGTAGATCCCTAGAGCCGAGAACATTCGGGTCGATGCATTGTCAAAGCTTGCCATCTCGTCACATGCTATCCTCACACAACAGTCAAACCGGACACTTTAACACAACCCAACATTTTAAAAGCAAATTTGATAGTCTTCCCAGTTCAGCAAGAGACATCATGGATGGATCCCATCATACAGAACCTCCAGGACGGCACCCTCCTGGCAAACTGAACCGAAGCAAGAAAGCTCGCCCATAGGTTGGCCCAACATTGCCTCATTCGGGGTCATTTCTACCACTAGTTGCACACTCTCCCTTACCTGAGGTGTCTTCCTCCAACAGAGGCCAACAACGTCCTCAAGGAGATGCACAAGGGTATCTTCGGAGACCACCCTAGTGCACGAACCCTAGCATACATGGCACTCCAGCAGGGCTACTTCTGGCCCATCATGAAGCAAGATGCA